GCCATTTCAAATAAATTAATGAATTAAGTAGAAGTCAACCTGGTCAGTGATACACAGATTACCATGGAGCTAGGAGGAACCTTGGGAAAATACCTTAAAGGTCAGACTAACTACCATCATTTAGAATTGTACATTAGAAATGTAATTGTTTCAGAAATTGTGTTTCTTGTAAACATCCAAAACTGGACAAATACTGTAATAGATACTCATCAATGGCAAAGTTCCTTCCAGCATTTCAGGTCACAACTCGTCCATCCCTATCTATCCTATGTGACTCTTGTCAATGATCTCCCAAAGTATGCTTTTACCTAAAGTGCTCATGGCCTTGCTTGCTTTCTCTATGTTGTGATTATATTGAGAACATTGGCAGGCCATCAGTTATCCCTTGCTACATCAGTTATCCCTACATCCCATCTTCCTTTTTAATCATAATTTCTTTGATCAGATATATTTTACTTCCGTTCTCTTCTTAGTTCTTTTTATTTGTTGCAACCTGCTCACATACACCAAACACCTCATCATTGTCCCATGACCAATACTATTTTAAATTATTCAGAAATGGTAGTATTCCATGACTTAGAGACATGCAGTAAACCAGTAGAATACGGGTATTAAAAAAAGATGGGCTTCTTTTTCAGGGAGAAGTTTGGGATCATCAAAGGAGCTATGAAGTTTTCCAAAGGCAATACAACCCATTTAGTTCTGGGCCCAATTCTTTTTCCATTTTTAGCACATGACCAAGATCTATATATACATATATGTATGTATCATATATATACATATATACTACATGTATAAATATACACACACATATTAATTTTACTGCTTGATTATTAGGCTATATACATTTAGTGGATACTTATGTATTGCTTTTTCATCTGTGTATGAATTCAAGGTCCTTAGGAATCTCCACAAAGGGAAACAGAATTTGAGAGACATTGAAAGGTGAGGATGCCCCAATTCTTTCTAGGAAAGAGAAAGAACAGGGAAATATATGCTGCCTTAAAACTGCCCTACATTAGGCAGCTGTATGATAGGCTAGAGGGTAATATGAAATATGGATATAGATCTATGGAATTGAGCCACTTCTTTATATTGCTCTTGAGATTTTGACTCCCTTATCACTGTATAGTGATATATATGGAGGGTAGGCAATCAGTGGCTACTGTTAGATTTCAGATTTGGTGATCACCATCCAAGCATCTATTGGTTAGCAACAGCTTCCGTTGGATTGCACTAGAGCAGCCAGAATGGTAGCTGTGGAAGCTACTACTGCTAAGGCCTGAGACTCCTATAGGATGATGACTAAGCCAGCACTAGGGAGGCTGAGACCTTGAAGCAGGTACTGGAACCAGAGCACAAAGAGAGCAGACTCCAACTCTGGAGGCTAGTACCCAAGGAGAATACCATCAGCTGGTAAGCAAGGAAGGGAAATGTGATTTTTTTCCCACTGTTTTCCCCCAGCTTTCCCTCATAGAGGGCTGTGTCCTGGAACTTAAATTAAAGGCATAGACCTCTCCCCACATTCCTTTTAAATAAGCGGCAGATATTCCTTCTACCACCCCTGAAGAGCTGAGAGGGTAATCAGGAGAAGGTTTATGAGATAATGGAGGTAGATGGTTCCCTTTAAGCACATTTAAATTATTCCTTTCATTTTTGCTAAGTTCAATAAATTAACACCCTAGTGTGTTGAATATATGAGTCCTGTGAATGCAAGGATCTGTCACAAGAGGTCAACCTAGATATGGGGTGAGAGTTTCAGAGTGTTAAAATTCATATTTTCTAAAATATTTTGAGTAATATTCTACATTATCTTCTAGGTAACTCCAAAATGGCCAAAAGTGGGGGAACAGTTAAAGTGCCTGCAAACTGAACTGAGTGCCCCCTGGTGGCAAATAGGGCTACTGCAATTTTTGGGAAAGCTAACCTTTGTAAGTTAGAGAGGAACTGATGTAGCTGTTGGGCTCCTGGCTCAAAGAGCATACCCCCTCATGGATAATGCAGATATTGCACTCCCTCGCAGGATAATTAATAGAGTGACAAGCTGCCTTTCTGCAGACAACACAGGTGCTGATTTGGATTGCTTACATATAACACACAGCCAGAAGTATTTCAAGGTCTCACAAACAGGTAACTAAAAAAGTCACATAGAGTAAACCATAATGAATACCCTGGACTTTTACTACAAATTACCTGATGCAAATATTTTGCATAAACACTGAATTGAGTTGGTCAATGTAGGCCAAAAAAAGTTCTATTAAAGAGCTATAAAATCATTAGGAGTAAATTTAAAATGTTTGCTGAATCTATTTTTTTGTGCACAGTTCATGTAATAAATTCTTAGAAAATGTTACATTCCAAAATTATATTATATTATATGCAAAAAAAAAGTTCCTTTGAGAGTCTGGATTATGACAATGACTGCTACATATCTCAGTGATTCAGAGTCATAGCTATTGAATCTTGAGGTTTTTCCCACAATAAATTCTAAAACTAGCTAACACTATATATTAATCCAAAGTATCAATGAATGAGTTAAGCATATTAGTCTATGGGAATGTGGAACAGATTTTGTTTTTATTGGGGTTTTGTTTTGATTTGGTTTAGTTTCTTTTTCTTTCTTTCTTTCTTTTTTTTTCTTTTTCTTTCTTTCTTTCTTTTTTTTTTCTTGGGCAGGGGAGCTCTAGTAACCAATTGCCTACTCAGACAAAGGAGTACTTCAAAAGCAGTATTATGTGAAGTTATGCATTGGTTTGTTTGTTTTACACAGAAACTGAAAAAAAAATACAATCTAAGTAAATTGTCCCTTGTGTCACCAATACAGATCAGCAGCTAGACCATAAATCATGTTTTACAGAGTTGCTTGGGGCACTGAAAGTTTAAGTATGTGTCATAGACAAGACTGGAACTCAGTTTTTCATGGTTCCAAAGCTGTCACTCTATGAACAATGCCTCCTCTCTAATGCTCATTAGTATTTAAATATTACTAAAAGTAACACATGCCATATCAAAATACTTGCATACATCATATATCTTTTCAATTGCTCATTTTTGTATAAGTAAAGAAAAAGGAGCAGTTATCAAAGGTAACATTTTTATGGCACTCTGAAGTTCAGATATTTGATTCTCCTATAAGTGCCTCAGGCATCAACAGATTCTCTCTCTCTCTCTCTTTCGCTCTCTATCTCTCTCACTATTATTCAACACATTCTTTCCCTAGTCTGTCTCAAACTGAAAAGTGAAATCTCTAGTAAATGACTAAAAACCTGGTTAAAAAAATATTTGCAAAACATGGAGCAATATAAAATTTGGCATTTGTCATCATAACCCTAAAAAAATTTTCACAGGTTAAGTCCATAATAAAAGTACAATAATTAGGATTCATTGGATTATGGTCATTCAGGAAATTTTGTTATACTTAAGAACACTGTAATAGATGCTAAAGATGATAAAGTTCTTATAACCCAAGGGATATGCAGGGAATTAATTAAAATGTATAGTAATATGAGACATTTCCTCCCCCCATAGATAAATCTTCCAAGGATAAAGAGGCAATTTTCAAAAGAAGAAAAGCAAGCCGTCAATGGCCATATGAAACAATGCTCCAAATCACTGATAAGAAAAAAGTAATTTAAAACAACTCTGAGGTTCCATCAGATTGGCAAAGATAGCAAAAATATAAAATAAAATGACAGTTGTTGGATGAATAGTCCAGCTATTCTGAAATGTAATTTGGAGATATAACCAAAAAGTCACTAAAGTGTTCATATCTACCCTTTAACCTACCAATAACATTACTAGGAATATGCCGCAGAGAGATAAAAAAAAAATATGACAGTAAATTTATGGCAGCACTTGTGTTGTACCAAAGAAAAATAAAAGACCTGCTTTCAAAGAGCTCAAAGACTAATGAAACTGAAAATATGCAACCAAAAAAATATGTTATTTCATTGCTGATGGAGCTGTGAATTGGTTCAACAATTCTAGAAGAAAATTTGGAATATCTTTTGACCCAGAGATCCCACTTCTGGGTTTATACTCAAAGGAGTTAATGACACTAAAAAAAAGAGACCCATATATTTTAAAAAAAACCCTCATATTACCTCCACTGTAATAACAAAAAAGGGAAACAAAAATGTGTGTCCTACAATTGGGTAATAATTGTTCAAACTATAACATATGAATGTAATGGAAAATTATTGTACCATAAGGGATGACAAATAACTCAAATAAACCTGGTTAAATCTCTTGTCTTTTGATTCTATGATATAATATATAATATCTATTATACTGTTAGCTAGAAGAGGGGAAATCCCCAAAGTAGATGCTTTGAAAAATGACACTAAGCCTTTTTCAGCCTCTATGGTTAAAATGGAAGAGACAAAATTACCTGTAACCAGATTTTGCTGCTTTGATTAGTGAAGTAAATCTCACCAAAACTGCTGAAATGATGACCACCACAAAGATTTCCTCTAGGATAATACCAGAGGGAGAGGAGCATGCAATATTACCTGTGGACATCTTCAGTACCATTATTAAGTAGTAAAGCCCCCCTCTCCTCTGGTGGCCAGTCGGTCAGAAAATGTATTTATATGGTTTTCAATAATCTATGAACCACAACACATTTGAAAAATGTATAATTTGAGGAACTCATGACAAAAGTGAGGATTTCCTATATTTATCAGCTGGAGGTCTTGATCCTCCAAAGCCAGGGATGTTTACCTGCTTGTTTCTATGCCTTTCTATAAGTGCCTCCAAATTACATTACACTCTGGGACCATCATGACTGATTTCAGTGGATTCCTGAATTCCAGTGATTGATTAATATTAGGGGAATTTCAATAATTGATTAATATCTAGATCTTCCCACATTTCCACTGCTATTTGTTCTTAGAGGCATCCTAGAGAAGTGAGTTTTATGGTTGGTTTGAAACAAAGAAAAGAAAGTAGCTATTCAAAGAACCACTTAGACAGAAGTCATCTTCTATAAAATGTCCTACCTTCTCTTTCAGAACAGCACAGAGTTCCAGTTGCTTTTTTCTGTCTTGGGCCAATACGGTCTCCATTTCATAAGCAGTACATGCTTCTGCAACAGTTGTTATGGCTTTTTGTATAAAATCTTTCTTATCCTTAGCCCAATTTAATAAGAAAATTCTTCTTTGATCCCTGGTTAAACAATATTGGCTCCAGTATTTCTCATGTGTAACCTAAAAAGGAAGTCCCTGAATATTAACATTTTATAATTACGAAAAGTATGTTACATTTGACAAGTCATTATTGCTTAAATTATATTGATAAGAAAAGTCAAAGAAAATATAAAGATTTTCTTCAGAGCAGAAAACAATTTTTGTTTAACAATCAGTCTTTTATGTCCAATATAGTTAGTTGTTCTAATGGGGACAGCAAATGCCTAAACCTTTTTCTTTGTTACAATAGGGGATCACTGGGTGAAGGAGGGAGGGAAATGGATAATATTGGGAAATGACTGTGAAATTTATACAAAAAGCACCAATGAAAAAATAAAGAGAAAAATCATAGCCTTTATATCAGGACAAATCATCACATTTCCTTAAATTTAGTCAGTTTTTATAATACATCAGAATTATAAGCACTTATCAGAGCAGTTCTGCGCTCTCCAAATGAAAGATGGAGACTTGAGAGTATCATTCACATTTTCAAAAAGCAAGATAATCCCAGTTTAGTAGCTCTCTGACTGAACATTTTAAACAAGAGCAAGTTTTGCCTTAAAATATCTAAATAACCAGGCCAATTCTTTACTTCTTTTGCCATTGTAGCCTGGGCCTCTGAGTTTTCAGACATTTGTTTAACACGTGAGCAAGGTGTAAAAGTAGATGAGCAAACAGGAAAGAGAAAAGAGGCCTTGAAACAAATACTTCATTTCCTGGTGACTAAGTATACAATGAACAGATTGAGCTTCACAAAAAGAGGCATTCTGATATGAATTTATATTTTTAATTCTGACAACTAAAATCCAACTGTTCTGTTAACTTGTTAGTTTCGATCCACAAAACCTCAAATTATTTAGCACCTGCCAAACATTTTGAAAGGAAGCAGACATGATTCTGAAAAGAATGATAAGGTACTTAAGACTTAAATAGAATTCATAGTTAATATTAGGTAAACACAAAAACCAAAAAAACACTAGTAAATATGAATTAATCTATTGGGAAAAAAGAAGTCACACATGGATAGTAAGAAAGGTACAAAAATTAGAAAAGCAAGAACATAATTTAATTTTCTAAAAAAACAAGTATTTATTAACTCCTTCTTATTAACACAGCACTAATAGTTTTCCTTAGAGATATGTCTATATCTGGAAACCCAAACCTTAATATATAATTTTTTCATTCAGAACATTTATGAAGTACCTGCTATGCCCGATGCAGTCCTGGGGGAAGTATAGAAACAAATGTAAATTATACATGGCCCTTGCATTCAAGAACTATAGTCTTCTATGGTGAGTGATAAAAGAGAGAGGCAAAGAGAGAGAGACAGAAAGAGGAGAGAAACAGAGACAGAGAGAGATGATAGAGAGATAGACAGATTGATAAGGTAGATAATTAAAATAACATCAATGTATTGGACCATTTTTACTTCAAATTTCTGAACAAATCTCTGAAATTGAATATTTTTCTTCAGAAACCTAGCTTAAAAGTCCAAAGATTAAAAAAAAGGAAATGTAAAGTATATATTTAGTTATCATTATTAAGTATAAAAACCCAATAAACAAGATTCAGAATAACAAAGAATTTATCTATAAACCTATAACAACCATTGCAGAAGCCCATTGTACTCTTGAAATAAGATACATTGAATTTATCATTGCTGGGATTATTCTGTAGCTTTGCTAGAAGAATGAAGTCCTTTACAAACAATTATCTTTATAAAGATGTAATAATTCATCAAGAACAGGAATGATAATAATGATTAGATAAGACTGTACAATAGTAGCCATATCATTTTAAATGTTTACCTTCTTTAGATCCTATGAGCTAAATTATTTCCAAAAGGTCACTTTAAACAAGACTTTTGTGTTGAATATATAATTTTTTCTAATAAACTTCTTAGTACTCAAAATAGCACTCACCAGATCATGCCTAGATTTGTGAGGCAAATACTTCTGTAACATATCCAAATACAAAGTTCTTCTTCCCTGAATATCTTTTGGATACTGATCTACAATTGCCTGGTAAATCCATTGATCTTCTTCATTCAACTCAAAGTTCCTAAAGGTAATAAAAATGCCAAAGTCCATCATTTTAACAAGGTTGGATTAAGCAGTGCTGTGAACAATATACTTATCAATTTTGAGAATTTTCATGCAATTTATAGTGGATAATAAATTCTAACTAAGCATAATCAATTAAACTTAAGTTTGTAATGTAGCATAAATCTAAATTCTAATTAAAATGGAGGTGCTTCAGCCCCAACTTTGATCATGACCTGAGTTTTGACCATTAATTTAAAGAAAATAGAATTGAACCTACAACAAACAATTCACATGCTAACAAACCTGAAAATTTAAAGGAAATGGAAAATTACCTACAAAAATATACTCCAATCAACAAAACAGGAAATAAAAAGCTTAAAAAATTCTATCTCAGAATGCAGGAAAATAAGCACCTTAATTCACTACTAGTAGAACTGTGAATTGGTCCAGTCATTCTAGAAAGGAATATAGAACTATACTCAGAAAGTTACTAAATTGTGCATATCCTCCACCACAGTAATACCATGGGCAGGCCTATACCCCCAAAAGATAAAATAAAGAGGAAAAAAGTCATATCTACAAAAGTATTTATAGCAATTCCTTTTTGGAGTGGCAAAGAAGTGGAAATTAAAGTGATGTTCATCAACTGGGGAATGACTGAACAAGTTGTTTTATGAGAATACAATGGAACATCATTGTACCATAAGAAATGATGAAAAGGATGGTTTCAGAGAAACCTAAGAAGCTACATATGAATTGTTGCAAAGTGAAATAAGCAAAACAAGCAGAAAAAATGATACAATAATAATAACAATATTTCAAAGACAGACAACTATGAAAGACTTAAAAACTCTGATCAATGCAATGACCCACCACGATTCCAAGAGATCAATGATCACAGACTGACAGAGATGCAAAATAGGACACAGATTTTTTTTTATATGGCCAATATGGGGATGTGTTTTGCTTTACTTTGCATATTTCTGACAAGAATATTTTTTCAATGAAAGGGGAAGGATATAGGGAAAGCAAATAAATCTTTAATTTAAAAAATTAAAATTAGAAAAAATGGCAAAGAAACTAATTGGAATAACTAATAGCTACTATAATGTATCAGGAAACAAAATAAATTCACAAATATCATCAGCATTTCATATAGCAATAATAAAATCATAAAGAAATGAAAGAAAAAGAAATACCATCAAAATAACTACCAAATGAATAAAATATATGGAAGCCAATCTGCCAAGATGCACTCAAAACATATAAATACAATTAAACATTTTTTACAGAAATAAAAATAATCAATTCATCACTTATGTTTGGGTCATGCCAAACAACAAAAGTTATGATATTTCTTAAATTAATTTATAGATTTAATGATTTGCCAATGAAACTATCAAAGGATACTTTGTAGAACAATGCAAAATGATAGCAAAATACATTTATGTAAAGAAAAAAACTATTATCTCCATAAAAATAACGGAAAAAAGTAATACCGAAAAGGGAATATAAATTCTAGACCTCAAACTATATTACAATGAAGTAATCATGAAAACATTTTGGTACTTATTAAAAAATAGACACATAAATGTGCAGAATAAACCAGATAAACAAGAATCAGAAACAAATTAACTTAACATCCAAAAGGTTGATAAGTCCAAGAATACAAATTACTTGGGGAAGGATCCCTTATTCAAAAAAAAATTCTGGAAGAACTAGAAAGCATTTTGGCAAGTAGGTCAATATCAGCATTTTACAACAAAACCACCAAGTATGTACGAGAGCCAGCTTGAACTGGCTCCTGATAACTGAAGGTTAAATTTTTATTATAAGCATTTACACCTCAGAAACTGGTAAATGCAACAAATCAGGGTTTGATTTATTATTTTGTTAATTGATTAGACTTAAAGTGATGGGGAAGATGTCACTAATGCAGATTAAATTTAAAAGTGTGTTATGTGTACTTTTTTTCAGAGCCAATTGTTAAACATTTACCAGCACATCCTGTACAGCACAATAAGTTCCAAAAGGATATACAGCCTAAATATAAAAGCTCACATGATGAAAAAAAAATCAGAAAAAAATATCAGGACATATTTTTCACAACTATTGCTAAGGGGAGAATTCTTAACCAAACAAGAGAAAGAGTGTCTAATAAAAGAAAAAAATAAATAATTTTGATTACATGAAATGTAAATTTGTTTTCATGAGTAAAATCAATGCAGTTGGATTAGAAGGGGAACTATTAATTGCAAAAATTTTGTATCTATTATCTTTAACACGAGGATATGAAAGATGTATAAAGAAATAACATAAATATATAAAAACAAGAGCCATTCCCCAATAGATAAGAGGTATGAACATACAGTTCTCAAAAGAAGAGTTTCAGTATAGTAACAGTCATATAAAAGATTTGTTCAAATCACTCCTAACAAGAGAAATGCAAATTAAAGCAAATCTTAGGTTTCACCTTATACTAAACAAATTTACAAAGGTGACAAAAACAGTCAACACTGGAGGGAATGCAGGAAGACAGGCACATGAATATACCATCAATATAGCTATGATATGTTCTAATGATTCTGGAAAACAATTTCAAATTATGCAAGAAAAGTCACTAAGGTATTTATACTTTTTGACCCAGATATTCCACTAACAGGTTTATACACCAAGGAGATCAAAAGCACAAAGGTAAGGCCCTATATCAACCAAAATAATCTTAGGAGCACTTTTAGTGGTACCTAAGAACTGGAATTCTTACACAAAGATCATCTGTTCAATAAGAAATGCTGAGAAAACTGCAAAGTAGTTTGGGAAAGAGGTGAATTCTATCATCTTACATCACAGTTGTGGAGTCAGCTCATACTGGCTTCTAAATCCATCAAAGGCAGTGTCCACTAAATAGGAAATAATTAATTGTATCATGTGAACATAATGAAATATTATTGTGCAATAGTAAATGATGAAGAGAAGGAATTCAGAAAACATGGGAGGACTCATATGAATAGAAATGGAGTGAAGCAAGAAAAATCAGGTAAACAACATATACAATGACTTTTAAAGTATTAAATGAAAACTGAAGCCAAATACTGTGAATTTTTAATGACTAATCCTTTTGCTGAAGAAGAGATGAAGAAATTCACCACCCTCATTTCATTGGAGAGGTAAGGAAATCATGGCTGTGGAAGGTTGCATACATTACCAATAATGGTGGTTGTTTATATTGGTTTTATTAACTATTCTTCTTTGTCACAAAGCAAAGCTCAGAGAAGAGAGGGGACATAACTTGAAATAATGTGATTTTTTTAAGAGGTATCAATAAAACTTTTTAAAATTAATTTCTTAAAATTAATTTTTAAAAATGAAATTGAGAACCCACAAAGTAATTAACTTTGTTTTCCTTTCTTTCTTTTCTACATTAAGTGACCTTTTTTTTAAAAAAAAAACTATAATTAATTGACTAAATAAATGTTAGAACTTGGAAGACAATGTGTCAAATGCAGATATGAAAGATACTAGACTATGTCTAACTGATGAGAAAAAGCTGACAATATCTTTACAGAATGATAGTAAGTGTTAGGTTATATAGTCAGATGGTAAGGGCAATAGATAATTAGGCTGTCCTCCATTTTAAATTATGCCATTAAAATTGAGCCTAAAATTATACATTTACTTTGTTCTTTTCTCTACTTGACCTTGAATGATTGGAGAGATGTTGACAGTATAAAGGATGATCAATACTGTTAATTTTGGTTCCCTAAGGAAAAAAATTGCATTTAAACCTTCCGTGAATTCATTAACTCAGAAAAAACAACCACATAGGAAGCCATTTTCATGGTGCATGGTGGTAACAAGATAGTTAAAAGAGATGAGGATAGAGTAATGACATATATTTAGAAGGCAATATATTGAAAATCGAGGAACAAGATGGGGGAATCCTTACAGAAAGTATATGGTAAAAAATCAGTAGAGGAAGACCAGACCTCTGCCACAATAGGCAGATAAGCACAAGAACCCTGGGAGAAGCAGTTACCCCCCCAACCACTAGTCTGGCCCCCTGAGCCCATTATCCATGAAGCAAACTCTGTGGAAATAAGATCTGGAAACTGCTTTTGCTTTATTGCATTTTTTTTAGTATTATTACTAGCCTACTCATTCTGGACATTACTATAGATAAAGTTTGTCTAGACTTCAGCAAAGCAGCTGATAAGCACTTAAAAATATTTGATTGATTGATTCAACTCCTGTGGAAAATAGAGAAAGACATGGACTATTTAGTTATAGAATTACATGAATTTGGAATTGGCTGAATGGCTGAATTCAGACCAGTCATTTGGAGTGCCACGGTTTAAGAGTGATATTGAAATCTGGCAAGCAAACAGAAGAGAGCAACTAGGATGCTAAAGGGTCTTGATTCAATGTCACAGGAGAAGTGGTTGAAGGAATTGGGGATGTTTGACCTGCAGAAAGGACGACATATGTGGGACATGATAGTTGTTTTCAAAAACTTGAAAGGCTGTCACATGGAATACAGATGAAACATTCTTTTTAAAAAAATATTTTATTGTTTCCCCAATTACATGTAAAAACAATTTTAACATTTGTTTTTTTTTTCAATTTTTGAGTTCCAAATTTTCTCCCTCACTTCCCTCCCCTCTCATTGAGAAGGCAAGCAATTTGATATAGGTTATACATGTGCAGTCTTGCAAAACATATTTCCATGTTAGTCATTTTGTGAAAGAAAACACAGACAAAAAAACAAGAAAAATAAAAAAGTAAAGAAAAAGTATGCTTTGATCTATATTCAGACTATCATTTCATTCTCCAGAGATGGATAACATTTTCTTTTTTTATTTTCTTTATATTATTTTTAATTTATGAAATAAAACAAGCATTTCTATAATGTAGTAAAAAAAAAAGATGATTGCACATGAAGCTGCAAAACTGCAAATGAATAATTTGCCATTCTTTTAAAATATATAATAAAGTTATCATGTAAATTTCTTTTTTCTC